GCCATCGTCCGAGGCGTCTCCATCTAGCCCGGTCGCCTTCCCTTCCTCCGGCAGCAAGCTGGATGGCATTGCGGCGAGGGGTCCGCTGTCGCCTACGCAGGCGACACCGGTCAACGGCGACAGTCGGGCAACGAGGATCGCGCCCAACCTGAGTGTCTCGCCGCGCGTCATTTCGATACTCGAGACGCCCGACATGGCGACGGGCTGCGTCGACCCGTCCAAGCGCCGCATCGTCTGCGCCACGCGCTTCAGCTCGAGGGCGGGGGCGGATCGACGGCTCTACACGAGCAGCCTCGGCTTCGACCTGGGCAAGACGTCGTCGCAGCTCCTCGCCTCGAGCAGTGGCGGTGCTGTCGATGGTGAAATGGCGGAGCCGCAAGGAACGACGGCGGCGGCGGAAGCGGCGACGATGGCGGCGACGATGACCGCGGCACAGGGTCCGAGAGAAGAAGGGGGAGACGAACAAGCGAAGCAGGCGTCGGTGTGGGCCATCTCGGGCGCGTGGGCGGCTCAGGCCTCGGCGCTGCAGGTGCCCACGCGCAATCCGATGGCCATGGTGCTGGACCACGAGAGCATCGTCGTCGGCTGCCAGGACGGCACCGTCTACCGCGTCGGTATGGTCGGATCCGAGTACGGCCTTGCAGATGCCGGAGCGGAGGGCGAGGGTGAGGGCCAGGATGGCGACGGTGGAGAAGAGGGCAAGGTGGGCGATGCTACGATCCGGGATCTGACGCAGCTGCGCGAGGTGTGGAAGGAAGTCTTTTTGCCGCACGACGCGCCGCCCGACCATCCGGGCCGGATCAGGAGGGATCTGGTCAAGAGCATCGGCCTCAAGTAGCTTGGCTGGATCGGGAGCGGGTCGAAGCGGCTCTGCAAGGTTCACTCCCGTCCGCACTCACCTCAGCGCCGTACCGTAGAAGAGGCCAAAGGGAATACAGGTAGACGTCTGTCGAGGAAGGAACCAAAGACGGCCCTGGTTTGCATCGTGTGTCTCTTTCCTTCAGGCTCGAATGGCCGGCGCCGGCATAGCGTTGCGTTGCGAGCCAACGAGCTCGGAGAGGTCGGGCGAGGTGACCGGATCGTCCATCTGTCTGTCTGTCTGCCACGCGTGCCTTCCTAGGTGCCTTCTCGCCTGCCGGTCTGCCTCGTGGACGGCCGCATCGTCCCGCGTCTGCCAGGACCTTGCCAGCCAGGCTTTGGCCTGTGCAAGTCAGCAGCTTGCTCGGGAGGCCTCATCTCCTCTGTGCCCCCGCTTCAAGCCGAACTCGAATACGGGCCTCGACGAGATTGATCGGGTACGGGCTGCGGGGATCCGAGCAGAGATCAGATCGCCTGAGCTCAAGCTTGGCCTTGCGTCGATCCCCGTCACGCGTTGCAGCCGCACCGCGTCGACGACGTACGGAGATCCGCCGAAGTCGATCCCTGCCCCCGTTTCCATCGACCTCGAGATGTGGGGGGCGCTGAAGGATGGCCAATCGACGCCGCCTCATTCGACAACGGAGCCTCTCTGTCTCTTGCTTCTCTCTCACGCCAGAGCGAGCGAGCAGGCGGGCGGCACGGGCAAAGACGGTTCTTCTGATTGCGGAGCTGGCCATGGACACGACGGCAGACGAGGCGAGGCTAGACTAGGCAGGCCTCAGCTGGCGCGTGGATGAGGGGTTCGGCCGTCGTCGGGTTCGATCTACGTATCTGGTCGCTGATCCTCGAAGATCTCCCCAAGCCTGCCTGCCTGCCCAGAGGCTAGACTAGGATTTGCGGGGGAGGCGTCGGCGTGCAAACGTGGGGAAAGCAACAAGGTGCTCGCTCGCCTGCACTTTCGCACTTTCGCTCGCTCGCTCCTCCGGCTTGGCGGACGGGCGGGCGGATGAGGGTCCTTGAGAAGAAAGCTTGCTTTGGCTTGTGACAGGCAGGGCGAGGCCTGGCAGCAGGCAGGCAGGTGGGCTCGAGCGAGGTACCTAGTACGCACGCACGGCGGGTGACTCGACGAAGCGGTGCGGGCGAGCGAGCAGGTTGGCGAGCGATGGTGATCCTGGCGCGGTCGAGAAGAAAGCCTGGCCTGGCCTGGCCTGGCCTGCCAAGCAGGCGATAAGGCGGCTGTGGACCGAACCGGACCGCCTCCGCCTGCCGCCTCGTTGGACGTTGGACTGGCCTGCAGCGCCAGCGCCGGCTTCAGGCAGGGCGCTGCAAGATAAGCCCAGCGTATCCGTCCAATCAGGGCGTTCGAATTTTCACGCCCGCCCGCCCGCCTGTCGCCCCCGCCCCGCCTTGCCCCGCCTTGCCCTACCTAGGCTAGGCCACCAGCAACGACGGCCGAGTTCGCCGTGCGTACGTTGCTACGGCGTCGTACCGCCTGCCAGCTGCTCTAGAGCAAGCCAGCCAGCCAGCCCCGTCTTCGGCTCCCTCCCCGCTTCGTTACCGGCCCTAGCCTGGTGTCTCGAAGACATCCGCCGAGGGTTGGGGGTTGAGCGAGGGAGCGAGGGTTTTGGGCTGGCTGAGACCTCGCCCGAACACACGCACGCCAGACGCCCGCGGCTGCCTTTCCACGAGATCGAGCGACGAGCACCAGACGACGACCCGAGGCGGTGCTCCGCAACCCCCTCTCCTCACAAGCCTGACCTTCGACGGCGACGACGACGTCGATGGCCGGCCCCCATCAGCCTGGCAGCCAGCAGCCAGCAGCCAGCCGGCCACGGTCATGCATGCAGGCCGATGGAGCAGGTAGGCCTGGCCAGGGTTGGGCAGCGCAGCCGTACGTACGGCGTGTAGGGGCGGCGGGCGGCGGGCGGCGACCGACGTCACCTCCAACCTCTGCCCTCTGCCCACGCGCGGCCAATCCCCGGACGGTCGCTCGCTCTCCCGGCATCGAAAGAGAGGAAGGAAAGGGGGCGAGGGCTGGCTGGATGGTAAACCATACGCAGCGCGCCGCTTGGCCCTGCCCTGTGCCTGGCCTCCAACCGGCTGGCCAGGCTGTTTTCACAAAAACGACCAGCGGAAATCGGGGAGGAAGTGGGCGCCGGCCGCGCTAGGCCAGGGCAAGAAGTGGCCGCGAGGCCCAGGCAGGCTGCTGGCGCGCACGGGGGGCCCCGAATTCGAGAGACAATTCGAGTGCGTCAGGGTTCGGCGGTCGGAAGGGGCACGCCAAGACCGACGCAAGCGGGCGATGGATGGCACTCACGGCGAGGTGCCGTCGTGGGGGGGAAGGGGAAAACGGCGGCGGACAACGCAGGGCAGGGGCAGGACAGGAGGGCTGGGCAGGGCAGGCTGCTGGCGAGTCAGACTCACAGGCAGGCTAGGAAGCTAAGGCGGGCGGGCGGGGCACGGGCACGGCGACGACGGCGAGACGGTTGTGCCGGGGTCAGACGGGCTGGCCCGGCCTGGACGGCGGCCTGCCCTGGCCGAGTCGACCGACCATCAGGCAGCCTAGCTCATAAAACTCACCGTCCAGCCCTGGGTCGTCTACGCGCCTCCCCGCTTCCTCTCTCTCCTCACCATCACCACCACCACCATCACCAGCACCACCGCTGCCACTACTGCCAGGCCCGACCTCGACAGCAGTCTCTTCTCTGTAGCCCCTTTGCCACCCCTTCGCAAGCCAACGACATCCGCCTCGACGAACCCCCCTTCTCGCCCAATATGTCCGCCCACCCCTTCACGAAAAACAGCGGTGAGTTTCGCGGTGTTGACGGACGCTACTGTTTCGTGCGGGCGGCGGCGATGTGGTCCTCTGGTTTCCCCGAGCCACGATGTCCGGCGCCCGAGGACGTCGTTCGGTAGCCAGCCTGTGGGCTGAGCTCAGGCTCTGGGAGCCAACGGCGAAAGGAGGCGCCTCGCCAGCCCGGCGGGGACCAGCCTGATCTCTCAGGGAACTCCTCCGACTGACAATGTACCACGCCCCGATTTCATTTCCCCCGCATCCTCTCCCTCCCTCCCGCAAATAGGTCTCCTGGCCCACTACATGGCCCTTGACCAGCGTGGTGAGTTGCGATGCCCCCTTGCCGCTTGCCGCTCGGCCTTGGCGGCGGCCTTGCACTCCTGCCCTTGCGAACAGCGTTTCCTGACCGGTTCTCTCTTTCTTCACCCCTTTCCGCCTCACTTCCACCCGCAGGCGTCGTCCAGGCCGAGTACATCTGGATTGACGGCGATGGCGAGGTCCGCTCCAAGTGCACGACGCTCGACGGCCCCGTCAAGTCGATCAAGGACCTCAAGGAGTGGAACTTTGATGGCTCGTCGACAAATCAGGCGCCTGGCGGCAACTCGGACGTCTACCTCCGCCCCGTCGCATACTACCCGGACCCCTTCCGCCTGGGCGACAACATCCTCGTGCTGGCTGAGTGCTACAACAACGACGGCACGCCCAACAAGGCCAACAGCCGCTACGAGTGCAACAAGATCATGAACCAGGCCGCGTCGCACAAGCCGTGGTTCGGCATGGAGCAGGAGTACTCGCTCTTCGACATGGACGAGCGCCCCTACGGCTGGCCCAAGGGCGGTTTCCCGGGACCCCAGGGCCCCTACTACTGCGGCGTCGGTTCGGGCAAGGTGTTTGCGCGCGACCTGGTCGAGGCCCACTACCGCGCCTGCATGTACGCCGGCATCAAGATTTCGGGCATCAACGCCGAGGTCATGCCGTCGCAGTGGGAGTTCCAGGTGGGCCCGTGCGAGGGCATCGAGATGGGCGACCACCTCACCGTCGCGCGCTACCTCCTCGTCCGCGTCGCCGAGGAGTGGGGCGTCAAGGTCTCGTTCCACCCCAAGGCGGTGCCCGGCGACTGGAACGGCGCCGGCTGCCACACCAACTACTCGACCGAGGACATGAGGAAGGAGGGCGGCATGAAGGCCATCGAGGCGGCCATTGAGAAGCTCGCCCAGCGCCACCTCGAGCACATTGAAGTCTACGGCGCCGACAACGACAAGCGCCTCACTGGCAAGCACGAGACGGGCCACATTGGCGAGTTCAGCTCGGGCGTCGCCAACCGCGGCGCCTCGATCCGCATCCCGCGCCACGTCGCCGCCCAGGGCTTCGGCTACCTCGAGGACCGCCGCCCCGCCTCCAACGTCGACCCGTACCTGGCCACTGGCAAGATCGCCGCCACCACCCTCCTCTGATCGACGGCGCCCTAGCCTCGTGTGGTCGCTTGACCGGGACGCCGCGCTGCGAGGCCCCTCGACGCTTCGAAGTGTTCGGAAGCGATCGCTGTTGCCTGAGCAGCCTGGAGCTTCCCGGCAGCGGCTGGCGGGCTCGGCGGAGTAGCAAGCCTTTGGCGCTCGGGGCTCGCTTGTCTCTCAGGCTCTTTCCCTGTCTCCTTCGCTCTCCTTCTCCGTCTCTCTCTTCCTCACGACTCCCTAGATGATGGCGATGGCCCATGGCGATTGCCACGATTGCCACGATTGCGACGAACCCTCCCCTACTCCGCGCCTGGCGCTCCTCTGCTGATATTCTTCCAGCCAAAGCGTCCCCCGACGTTGAATTGTGATACGGTTTCCCATGACTCGTGACTCGTGTGCCGCTCGTGGGATGTGCGAGAAAGCGAAGATGGCCGAGCGTAGGAGAGCTGCCCAACGGAAGGGGATTGCGTTCGAGCATGGCGAAGGACCTTCGTCGCTAGACTGTGGCCCTGGCCGGCGGTGGGGCCGAGGATGAGGGTGGCGGGAGTCGGGAGTGGAGATGGCCCCGAGCCTGGCGCGTGCTTTTCTGAAGAGGTGGAGCAGGCAGGCCCGACCAGCCAGACGAGGCGAGTGAAGGAGGGCTCAACGCTCGTCTCTCAACCCACCATCACCATCACCATCTTCCTCCTCCTCCTCCTCCTCCTCCTCCTCCTCCTCCTCCTCCTCCTCCTCCTCCTCCTCGCCTTGCCTGCATCTCTCCCCTCGTTGCCCTCCCTACACCGCCACCGCCGCTGCCGTCCGATCCACTTCCGACAGAGCGCCACTCACACGCCTCCCGCCCCTCCCCTGTTCCAGGCGCGATCCACGCCGCAGCGACCGGCCGACACCCGCATATACGAGTCATCCTATGGCGGTCCGATCTCGACTCTGATGAGACCGCTCCCGACCCGGCCGTCAGTGCCGCAGGGCCAAACGCATCCCACCTCCTCGGCCTCTGCATCTGAATTCGCGCAGCAGCACCAGCAGCACCAGCAGCACCAGCAGCAGCAGCAGCAGCAGCAGCAGCAGCAGCAGCAAAATGCAGTGCCTTCGCGTCCGGTCCCGAAACGCCTGAGCCCGGTCTTTGGGCGACCCAGCGCTGCTGCCGGTTCCCTTCCGCCGCGACCCGTCGCCGTTCAGAGCGCAGCACCTGCTTCAGCGGCGAGGGGAAGAGGCGCAGGCCCGCGCATCATACGCCCGCATCTTCCGGCACCAGGCGCATCTGCGGCTCCCCGGCCGCGGCCCTTTGCCAACAGGTCGGCTGTCTTCAACAGGCCTCAGCCGCCCGCCGCAACAAACGAGGCGGAGCAGTACGATACCGCCGCCACCGCCAGCAACGGGACCCTGCTTGCCACTGGACTGCCGCCCAAACCTGTCACGGTCGAGGCTCAAGGCTCAGGATCGGCTCCGGCGATAAGTGCCTTCGGCGGCGGCGGCGGTAGCAGCAGCAGCGCCTTCGGAAGCTCGGCGACGGGTGCTGCACCAGCAGCGAGCATCTCTGCCTTCGGATCGCCCAGCTTCGGGCTCGGCGGCGCTACTACCTCTGCCGCGCCCAGCGCCTTCTCCAGCTCCGCGTCCACACAGAGCACCTCTGGATCCGCTTTTGGCGCCTTCGGCAGCGCCAAACCGGCTTCGGCCTTCACAGCTGCCGAACCTACCTCCTCTTCCTCTCCATTCTCCGATGCTGTCGGCGCTGCGGCTGCTCCTTCGCCCCTGTCCTTGGCCGCAGCCGAATCACCCTTCCTCGCTCCAAGTCCAGCGCCAAGCCCGGCCCCGGCTCCCGTTCCAGCTCCGGCAGCGGCTGCTGGTACGCCGACGTCGCTCTCCAGCTTCCTGCGCAAGGACAAGTCAAATGCTGGCTCGGCTGCCGCCTCGCGCTCCTCTACGCCGCTTCCCAGCGGCGGAGGAGGCGCATTCGACCAGATCGCCACACCTGGTGGTCGAGACGGCAATGTAGGGGAGGACGAGGAGAGGAGGAGGCGCTTCGACGATGCGCCCAAGACGGGCAACCGCTTTCTGGAGATGAAGGGCGGCCGCGAGGCTCTGAGGGCATCCTACATCGCCTCAGGCGTCCTTCCGGACCCCAACAAACCTACCGACCTGGCGCTCGCCATCAAGCTCACCGGCACCTGCCAGGACATGTGCCCGGAGTTTGAGCGCGAGGAGCGCGAGTATCAAAAGGAGCTCGACCGCTTCGAGATGATCCCAGGCACGAACCGAGTCGATCCCAAGCTGGCCGTCAAGATCTACCGTCGGCCTGCCGCCGGACGAGAGCTGCCCTTGCCCGAGGACGTGCGCCCGCCGGCGGTGCTCAAGATGACGCTCAACTACCTGTTCCACCAGCTCCTGCCGGCTTCCCCCGACGATCCGGCCTTCACTGCGGTGCAGCCGTTCCTCTGGAACAGGACTCGGGCCATTCGACAGGACTTCATCGTCCAGAGCGAGAGCGGCCCGATGACGATCGAGTGTCACGAGCGGATCGCGCGATACCACATCCTCTGCCTGCACTGGAAGGGCGGACCGGGTGCCGAGGGCTGGAGCGAGCAGCAGGAGCTCGAGCAGCTCCGAAAGAGTGAGTGCGCCCCCGGCGAGCTGTCCCTTGTTCGATGGTCGCAAGTGTCTGTTTGATCATTCACCCATCCGTGACCTCCGGTGTTTTGCGTCTGCCCTCCAGCTCTTCGGTCGTTGATCGAGTTCTACGACGACCGGCGCCGTTCGGGCCACACCTCGCCGTGCGAGGCCGAATTTCGCGCCTACAACCTCCTGCTGCACCTCCGCGACCCCGAGACGCTGCGCGAGGTCGAGCTGCTGCCTCGCGCCATCTTTACGGCGCCGCAGGTGCAGGCGGCCCTGTCGCTGCGTGCGCTCGCGCAGCGATCCAACAATCTCGAGCGCCGCGGCCAGCCCAGAAACACCGAGGCGACGCTCAACTTTTTCTCGCGCTTCTTCGCCGAGCTTCGCAAGCCGGCCGTCTCTTACCTGATGGCCTGTCTCGCCGAAAATTCCTTCAACTCGGTCCGCATCGGCGCCATCAAGGCCATGGCCAAGGCGTACATGGCCCAGCACCGCGCCCTTCCGCTCGCCTTCCTGGTCAAGTGCCTCGGGCTCGACGACGAGGGGCAGGCCATCGCTCTGGTCCAGCATCTTGGCATCGAGCTCGAGTACGACGACGCGGCGGCCACGGGACACCCGAGCGGCGTCAGGCTGTCCAAGGCGAGCCTGATCAACGAGGACAAGCCCGTGCCAAGCCCCTTCAGCGCCACCATTGTCGAAGCCAAGAGGGGCACGCACTCGTGCCAGGATGTCGTCGACGGCATCGCCAGCGGAGCGGCGCCGCCATTGCCGCTGCCGCCACAGGTCATCACACCGAGGCCGGCTGCAGCAAAGCCAAGCGTTCCGCCACCCACCAAGGTGGTCGCACCGGGAAGCGCGTTTGGCCTGCCTCCAGCAGCAGGCTCGACATCATCTTCGGTGTTTGGAAGCGGTACAGCCTTCGTGTCCGGCGGCACCTCGGCCTTCGAAGGCGCGAGCGGTCCGTCTCTAGCCCAGCCGCAGCCCTCGAGCGCAGCCTCGAAGCTCTCTGCCGCCTCCCCTGCCTTTGTACCCTCGACTTTCGCCAAGCAAGCCACGGACGAAGGCTCGGCTCGTGCCGCCTCCTCCTTTGGTCGGGCCCCGAGCGCCTTTTCGTCCGCGGCGACGACGACTTCTGCTCCTCCAACCTCGGCAGCGGCGGGACCTTCCTTCTCGTTTGGCGCTCCGGCCCAGCATGTTGCTGGCAGTGCCACCCTTCCATCGACGGCGACTCAACGAGCGCAGCAACCGCAAGAGCAGCAGCAGCAGCAAAAGGCACCCGAATCCAGTGCGCCGAAGCTGCCGATATTCGACAAGCCAGCCTCATTCAGCGCATCGCCCAGCCGCAAGAAGCGCGCCGCTGAGCCCCCGTCGAGTGAGGGGCCGGATCAGGTGGAATCTCCGCGTCCGGCGCCGCCGCCTCCATCAAGATCGCTACTGGAGCCCACTCCCGCACTCAAGAGCACGCCTGCATTGCCGCCCTCGCCGCCAAAGCAAACGCAGTCCAAGAAACGACACAAGATTCCAGCTCCGGCCAAGGCTGAGCTGCTCGACCGAGCGTATTCGGCGATGGTCCAGCCCCTGCTCGAGGAAGCCGCAAAGACGGCCGCCACGGCTGCTGTAGAAGCCGAGCGGATTCGCCGCGGTCGCGCCGCAGCTCGCTCCGCTCTCCTCGACACGCTATCGGAGCAGCTCTTCAAACAGCTCGCTGCCGAACGCTGCCAGAAGGTGTCGGAGCGACGATCAAGGCACGCCGCTGCCGTTGAGTATGCGGACAGGAGCTTCAAGCGCTTCGGTCTCGAGAGCTGGAAACAGGCGCTGCAGGAGCGCCGGCACGGCAAGCAGATGAAGGCGCGCCTCGATCTCGTCCGAAACGAGCTCAAGCGCCGCGGCATCGGTGGCGGCGATGCCGACCACCACGGCAGCCGCAGCATCATCCTGGGCGAGCGAAAGGTGACAAAGCGAGCCGAGGCTCGGCCCTTTGCGCGGTCCCGCCGCCTTCGGTCCGAGAACAGGGCCGCATTCGAAGACGACGGTCAGGAGAGCGACGACGACGAGGCGCTGCGGGCGACACTTGACACGGCGCAGCAGAGGCGCCAGGCGCTTTGGGAAAGCGGCGTCTTCCTCGACCAGATCGCGCAGAGGCTCGAGGCCCTCGTGTCGCAGTTCTGCCCAATCCAGCTGGAACGCTTCACCACGCTCTTCTTCGGCGCTAGGAGGGAGGGAAGCGCCGCGTCGCAGTGGCTGCGGTCCAAATTCGGCCTCGCCTCGCCCGAGGACGAGGTCGTCGACGTCGAGCTCCTCGATGGAACCGCCTGCACCCTCGTCGCCGCCGATGCCGACGACTGCGTGGCCACGGATGCCGAAGAAGACGTGGGCCTGGTGATCTTCGAGTGCGACCCTGGCTCGGTCCGTTCCACGGCCGAGGAAGGGGACCAGATCTGGCGAGCGGATCGAGAACGCCTCCAACGGATCGCCTCGTGCAAAGCTGTCCGGCAGAGCACGCTGGCCCCACGCCTGCTCGTCGTCGTCTGGTCGGATGGCATACCGCGTCTTGAAGAGGCTCCTAGTCGCCTCGGCCTCGGTCCCAAGCAGGCGACCGGGTCGAAGGTGTGGGACCGCATCGCGTTCCTCGAGCTTGGCGACGCCACGCACGACAGCACGATGGACATGGCGCAGAGCGTCGCCAAGCTGTTTCCGTCGCTGGCGCTCAACACCTCGTTCCGCCGCACTACGCTCGAGGACATCGCCTCGCCGCTGGCCAGCGTCTGGATCGAGACCGTCTCTCGCATCGCCTCGCTCTTCCCGCGGCTGCCCCGGGACGAAGAGGCCAGGGACGTCTCGGATCGTACAGAGGCGCAGGCGCTCAGGATCCTCGTCGCTCTCCTGAACCACGTCATCAGGACCGTCCTGCACTTGTCCGAGACGATCCTCGAGCCCGAGGAAGAAGGCCGGCTCTTGCTGCCCATACCCACAGCGGCTGAGGTCGGGCTCTTCGCAGCGGCGTTCGGGCTGGTCGAAGAGATGGCCATCCAGGCCGTGGAGGCGCAAAGACAAGAGGACGGCGAGAACAGGGACGAGGCCGAACAGGCGCTGGCCTGCCTTGCCCACATCCAGACTGACCTTCTGGCGATCGAAGCGAGGGGTGAAGGTGAGTCCGTCGTCCTGGCTATCCTGACCGTGCCCGATTTAACGAGGGCCTCGCTTGATTCACACCGAGTCTCTCCTTTCACCTCCTCCCTTTCACACCGGCCACCGGTCGACGGCAGCCCTCTCGCTTGCGCACCTCCTCCATCCGCTCCTGACGCTGACGCTCTCGCGCCTCGAACGGATCTGGCTGCACGCCGAGTCCGAGACGACGATCGGACAATCGATCCAGGCCTCGACGCGCGAGCTGCGCGAGCTCGCCGATCGCGCCGTCGACGAAGTGGCGGGCGACATCCGCCGCGTCTCGAGCAAGCTGCGCGGCGGACGCGGCGGTAAACGCTCGCTCGTCCACGGCCGCGACGAGGGCGAGGGCGAGGAGGATGAGGGCGCAGAGGGTGGGCAGCTGGAACGACTGGACCAAGACGGACGGCGCGATAGACCGATGACGCTGTGAGTTTGCCGGCCCTTTTGCCTGTCCCTTTCGTCTTATTCGGCACGACGCGGGTGCGCGGTGGCGGTCGACTCATCCTCATCGCACTCTCCTTCCACATCGCATTGCCTGGCTCGCTCGACAGAGACGAACTGTCGTCGCCGCCCAAACGCATCCGATCCCACCCTCCATCCACCACCTCCCCGGCAGCGGCGGCCGTACCGGTACCAAGGATGTCGACGACGCTCCGATCCAGTCGACCCGGTCCCACAACGACGACGACGACGACGCCGGCCGCATCCACACGGCCCGACAAGGCGTCGAACCCGCTCGAAGACCTACGCGCCCTCATCGCCAGCACGACGAGGTTCCTCGACTCCAAGTCGGCCTAACCCTCCACCCGACACCACGACCTCCATCAGACGGCAAGCAAGATCGATGATAGACTGACACGTTTTCGAGCTCCCGCACGCTACTCTCGAGCGCCACCGCCACCGTCCGAGTGCCTGAACCAGATGATGATCTCGAATCCCAACTTGGCCTTCTACGCGCCAGTTCTACCTCTGGCGTCTCTACGATCGCTACCACTACTGCTACAACGACCTGCCACTGCCGCTGACGACGACGACGACGACGCGCGCCTCGTCTTCACTCGCGGATGCTCTCAAACTGCTTCTGGGCGGCCTCCATGGCCTCGCGCTCGGCGCGGAGGGCGGCGAGCCTCTCTTCGGCCGCCTTGCGCACCTCTTCGGGCGTCTTTGACCACTCGGTCTCGCGCTTCATGGGCGCCTCGGTCTTTTCGATGGCCTGGCGGTTGATTTCGAGCTTCTTCTCAATCTTGCCCAGCTCCTGGTCGATGTTGACCAGGCCGCGCAGCATGAGGTGGGCGTTGAGCGACGGGCTGATGGAGCTGACGGCGCAGCCGGCCGGGATCGAGCTGGCGTCGGACGTGACCTCGACCGACTGGCAGCCCTTGACGAGCGTCATGACGACGTCCGACTGGCTGCGCAGCACCTCGGTCCGCGCCGCCTCGGACGACTCGAGGTAGACCTGCACCTTGGACAGAAGGCCGTAGTCGGACGCCATGCCGCGCACCGCCCGGACGGCGGCAAAGACGTCGTCAAAGGCCGCCTCGGCGCGCGCGTCGTCGCGCTGCTCGATGGCCTGCGGGTACGCCGCGAGCGAGATCGACTCGGCCGTCTCGTTGGCGCGCTTCGGCAGCCGCTGCCACAGCTCCTCGGTGACAAACGGCATAAAGGGGTGCAGCAGCTTGAGGCCGGCGTCGAGGCACGTGTAGAGCGTGTTCTGCGCCGACACGCGCGCCCGCTCGTCGGCCGAGCTCGGGTCCGTGACGGGCTTGATGGCCTCGATGTAGACGTCGCACAGCTCGTACAGCCAGAAGTTGTAGACGGTCGTCGTGGCCGCCATAAAGTTGCGCTCGGCCAGCTGCTGGTTGACGTCGCGCGCGGCGGCGTTGAGCTTGTGCAGGATCCACTTTTCCACCAGGCTCTCGTGGCCCGTCGGCCGCTCGTCGGCCGCCGGCTGGAAGCCGCCCTCGAGCTTCATGAGCGCAAACTTGGTGGCGTTCCACAGCTTGTTGCAGAACTTGCGGTACCCCTCGACGCGCAGGATGTCGAGGTTGATGTCGCGTCCCGCCGACGTGTAGGCGCACAGGGCGAAGCGGAGCGCGTCGGTGCCGCACTGCGGGATGCCCTTGGGGAAGTCCTTCTTCTGGCCCTGGGCCGCCTTGACAATCTCCTTTTCGTCGAGGTTGCCCTCGCGCAGCTTCTGCTGCAGGCCCTCGAGCGCGATGCCCTCGATGACGTCGATCGGGTCAATGACGTTGCCGAGCGACTTGCTCATCTTGCGGCCGTGGGCGTCGCGCACCATGGCGTGGCAGAAGACCTCGCGGAACGGCACCGAGCCGGTGAGGTAGACGCCGAGCATGGCCATGCGGGCGACCCAGAAAAAGAGAATGTCCCAGCCCGTCTCGAGGAGCGACGAGGGGTAGAAGTGCTTGAGGTCGTCGGTCTTGTCGGGCCAGCCCATGATCGAGAACGGCCACAGGCCAGACGAGAACCACGTGTCGAGCACGTCGTCGTCCTGCTCGACGGTGAACTTGGCGCCGCCGGCCAGCTTCTCGGCGCGCGCCTGGGCCTCTTCGGCGGTGCGTCCGACGACCCACTGGCTGGCGTCGTTGCGGTCCTGCTGCTTGCCCTCGATGTTGACAAAGTAGGCGGGGCAGCGGTGGCCCCACCACAGCTGGCGGCTGATGCACCAGTCCTGGATGTTGTCCATCCACCGGAAGAACTCGCGCTCGCTCTGGGCGGGGACGATGGTCATCTCGCCCGCCTTGACGCGCTCGACGACGGCGGCGGCCAGCGGCTTGCAGTTGACCCACCACTGCGGCTTCATGATGGGCTCGATGACGTCGCCGGACCGGCTGCAGATGGGCACCGTCATCGGGTTGTCCTTGGTCTCGACGTAGAGGCCCCGCTCCTTGAGCGCGTCGACGACGGCGCGGCGGGCGTGGAAGCGCTTCATGCCCTTGAACTGCTCGCCGGCGTTGTCGTTGAGCGTGCCGTCGTCGTTGAGGATGTTGATGAACTCGAGCTTGTGGCGCACGCCGACCTCGTAGTCGTTGGGGTCGTGGGCGGGCGTGATCTTGACGGCGCCGGTGCCGAACTCCATGTCGACGACGATGGCGTCGGCGACGATGGGCACCTTGCGCCCGGGCACGAACGGGTGGACGAGCATCTTGCCGTGGAGGTGCTTGTATCGGTCGTCGTTGGGGTGGACGGCGACGGCCGTATCTCCAAGCATCGTCTCGGGACGGGTGGTGGCGACGACGATGCGCTCGTCGGTGCCCTCGATCTGGTAGGCGAACGAGACAATGACGCCAAACTCGACGCGCTCGTTTGCCGGGTAGCCGGGCACGTTCATGAGGGTGCGGCCGTTGAGCTGCTTCTGGTCGACCTCGAGGTTGGAGAGGGTGGTGTTGAGCTTGACACACCAGTTGACGAGGCGGTTGGCGCGGTAGATGATGCCGTCCTCGTGGAGGCGGCAGAAGGCCTCGGTGACGGCCTTGGAGCGCGGCTTGTCCATGGTGAAGGCCTCGCGGGTGAAGTCGTAGCTGGCGCCGAGGCGGCGCATCTGGTTGGCGATGCGCGCTTGGTACTCGTCCTTCCAGTCAAAGACCTTTTCGAGGAAGGCTTCGCGGCCGTAGTCGTACCTCGTCTTGCCCTCGAGCTTGGCGATGCGCTTCTCGACGACGCTCTGGGTGGCGATGCCGGCGTGATCGTAGCCCGGGTTGAAGAGGACGCGGAAGCCCTTCATGCGGTGCCAGCGGATGAGGGTGTCCTGGATCGAGATGGTGAGGGCGTGGCCGATGTGGAGCGAGCCGGTGACGTTGGGGGGCGGCGCGGGGACGACAAACGTCTTTGCCGGGTCGTAGGGGTCGGACTCGGTGGGCTCTGCGGGGCGGTAGAAGTTCTGCTTTTCCCACCACTGGAACCACGACTGCTCGACGTGCTGCGGGTTGTACCCGTTCTCCATCGGCGCCGAGAGGTCCTTTTTGTCTCCGGGCTGGGTGTTGTTGACCCACTCGGGCTCCTGCTTGACCTCCTTCTTGACCTTTTCCTTTTTGGGCGCGGCGGCGTTATTGGCGGCCTGGTTTGCGCCGCGCTCGGCCTTGAGGGCGTCCTTTGCGGCCTGCTTTGCCGCCTTTTCGGCGAGCTTGGCGGCCTTTTTCTGGGCCGACTTGGTCATCGGCTGGCCGTCGGGGCCAAGGGGAGCGTCCTCGGCGGCGGAGGCATCGGCGGGCGCCTTTTGCTGAGGTGGCTGCTCCTTTGGCGGCTGGGCCTCGGCTGCGGGGGCGGGTGTGGACGACATGGTGCGCAGGCGGTGTGGGATGGCGGGTGAGGCACTGCTCGGGACGAATGCGGATCTGCGAGCAGCCGTGAGGAGGACGTGCGCGGAGGTGCTGGTGATGGTGGTGTTGAGGTGCGAGATGGAGAGGTTGGCGGTCAAGGGTCGTGCAATCGAAGGCAGAAGACGACCGGCCAGCATGCAAGAGGAGAGGAAGGGGCGCCTAGCTGGCGTCACTTTTCAAGGAAGCGCAAGGAGGTGGCGAGTGAGTCGCGGGAGATTCCTTTTCTGCCGTGCCGAGTCGAGTCGAGTCAAAGGATGGTATCGAGTCGGCAAGAGGAGGGCGACCAGCTGAGGGTTGGCTGAGCCTGGCTGGGTGATGTGATGGTGGTGTCGGCAACGAGGGGCGAGCAGGTGGAGTCAGAAGACTGCGAGGCAGCCAGGCCAGCTCCAAGCCACCGCCTGCAGAGAGGCCAGGCCAGGCCCCACTTCTTTTTCCGGCGCAATGCCCGCCCCGGCAGTCTTGTCGGCTCCGAAGAAAAAGTGAGGGGCTCTGGCTGGCCCGCACTCGGTGCCGCCCAGTCCAAGCCTCACCCTCTTTCCGGCTTCGGCTTTGCAGCATGGCTTGGCCAAGCGTACGTGTTGGTCGGGCTCGGGCCGACCCGCCGGGAGCTGCTCTATCTTTGCCTCTGCGTTGCCACATAGCTCTGGACGGCCTCTTTCGACGACGACGACCACCATCATCCCTTACCGCGTTCCTCCTGCCTCTCCCCCTCCTTTCCCCCCTCGGCAGCGCACCGAGACGCCGCGCATCACCCCTTTCGCAATGGTCGTCGACACTGTCCCTGCCGGGGAGCTGCCCCCGGCCTCGGCCCTTGCAATCTGGCTCCACTCGGTCTTTGACACGGTCGCACACAACTTCAACAGGCTGCCCGGAAGCGCAATCTTCCTCCGCTACGTCGCAAGCAGCTACCAAAACGACCCCATCCGCTCCCTCCTCGAGCTCTTCCTCGTCGTCTTCGCCATCCGCACCGTCCTCCAGAGCCGCACACGCGGAGGCGCAAGCGGCAAAAACTTTGTCCAGCTCAGCAACCGCGAAATCGACGAGCTCGTAAACGAGTTCTCGCCCGAACCCCTCTGCCTCCCCCTCACCCCCGCAGAGTCGCGCGAGCTCGCCTCCGTCCCCACCATCATCGGCGGCGCGTCCAGCAAGCCAAAGATCAGCATCGCCGCCCACAACGCCGGAAAGCCCATCACCGTCACCAACCTCGCCAGCTACAACTTTACCAACCTCGCCGGCCACGACGCCGTAAAGGAAAAGGCCATCCAGGCGCTCCGAAAGTACGGCGTCGGCAGCTGCTCGCCTCCCGGCTTCTACGGCACCATCGACGTCCACATGCAGCTCGAGTCCGACATTGCACGCTTCCTCGGCGTCGAAAACTGCATCATCTACAGCCAGGGATTCAGCACCATCTCGTCCGTCATCCCCGCCTTTTCGAAGCGCGGAGACATCATTGTTGCCGACCGCGGCGTCAACTTTGCCATCCAGAAGGGCATCCAGGTGTCGCGCTCCACCGTCTACTGGTACGACCACAACGACATCGACTCGCTCCGCGCCGCCCTCGAGCAGGTCAAGCACGACGAGCGAAGGCGGCGCGGCCCGCTCACCCGGCGCTTCATCGTCACCGAGGGCATCTTTGAGGGCGACGGCGCCATGATCGACCTGCCCGCCATCCAGGAGCTCAAGCGCAAGCACAAGTTCCGCCTCATCCTCGACGAGAGCATCAGCTTCGGAACCGTCGGCGCAACCGGCCGCGGAATCACTGAGCTGCAGGACGTCGCCGCCAAGGACGTCGAGATCATTGTCGGCTCCATGGCCAACACGCTCGGCTCGGCCGGAGGCTTCTGCGCCGGCTCCAACGAGGTCGTCTACCACCAGCGCATCAACGGCACGTCGTTTGTCTTTTCGGCCGCGATGCCGGCGATGCTGGCCATTGCGTCGAGCACTGCCATCTCGTACATGGTCTCGCAACCCTCGATCCTCGCTACCCTCCAGGAGAATGTCCGCACGCTGCGGTCCGTGCTCGACCACGTCGAGTGCCTGCGCATCTCGAGCGACGCCGCCAGCCCTCTGGTGCATGTCCAGATCCGCAGCAAGACGGACAAGCACCCGGACACGCCCATGGAAAAGTGGCAACAGGGCAGAAACAGCCTGGGCGTCGGCAGCGTCAACCTCGACGTCGCCTCGACCGACAAGCGCGGCGCAAAGAGCCCGCTCGACCACGACCTCTCGCCCGCCGAGCAGACGCGGCTGCTCCAGTCGATCGTCGACGACTGCCTCGAGCACGGGCTGCTGCTGACGAGGACCAAGCGGCTGCCCAGCATCAACCCGGCGGTGCTCGAGAGCGGGCCAGAGGCGAGGCCCAACATCCGCATCGCTGTCAGCGCCGCCTTTACCAAGAAGGAGATGGAAAAGGCGGCGGCGACCATCAAGGCGTCGGCGCACCGGATGCTGGGCAAGCGGAGATGACAATGGCGATATTGACGCCTGCCCTTGCTGCTTGGCCTTGCTCGTACGATCCACTGCTGCCGCCTCGAGACTGGTCCCTAGCCAAGCCCAGGGTGCGATCGCAGGACGCTACTTCTACTATTTGTCCTTGTGGTCTCGCGCGGCCCGCCGCCGTGGTGCTGCTGGCTGCTGTCGTTGCTCGATAATAATGGAACCGTCTCGTGAGAATGGGCGAGGAAAGGAGGCGTGAGAGGCGGCCGTGGACATGGACACATCGATCTCTGGCGGTCTCGTATGGGTGACAAGCCAAGAGAGAAGAGTGAGAAGCGTTGGTTGGTTGCTTGCGAGGGTCGTGCGGCTATGGCACCTCGTCGGGCGGGGTTGGCCCAGGCCAAGCCGGGTTCTTGACCGGCAGCGGCGTGGCAGGAGGCCACAGAGGCGCGTCGCCGTTTGCCGTGGGGGCAGCGCCCGGGGCCAGCAGGCCCGGCGGGGTCGACTTCTTCCGAGGGCCGCCTCCCCACACTTCTGCATCCCGACCTCCATCCCTTCTCCACAAACTCACCTCTCATCCCGCACCTCATCCACCTCGGACCGTCGGTCGTTTCTCGTTCCGACCTCATCTCGGAGAGCTTTCCGGTCCCGCTACGTCGCTCTCTCTGCTCTGCCTCTCTCTGCCTCTCTGCTTGACCCGGAACGCATCGCTCGCCCGCCACCTTGCTTCTGCTGCTTGCTGCCATCGTCCGCCGCTGCTCTGCCTGCCGTGCTGCCTGACATGCCCTAGTACCCGTCGACACCTCTGGGTCAAGAGTCCGATCATTCCCGATACAGGGTCGTGGAGCCCAGCAGCACCCTAGTCGCAGCACACCAGCTTCGGCCGATTGCGCCGCTCATCGCCCATCGCCCACGCCCACGCCCACGCCCTGCCCGGTCACTCCTGCCACCGCAGCCGTCTCGCTGGCGGCATCCGCCAGCATGATCCCCAGATCCACGTCTTCCGAGGGTCGGGAGCACGAGTCTGACGCCGTACCCATCGCCGCCAACCACAATCCGCCTCTAGCCAAGCGCCGGCGCACCGTCAAAGAGGAGCAGCGCCGCAGCAGCCGCGCCTGCCTCGAGTGCCGGCTGGCAAAGACGAAATGCCTCGTACAGGAAGATCGAAAGGAGCTCATCTGCGAGAGGTGCGAGCGCTTCAACTTCAGCTGCAAGTTTGTCCGCCACCACCGCGGCCGCAAGCCCGTCAGCAAGCTGGCCAGCCTCGCCTCGTCCTCGTCCCTGGCCGCAGAGCACCTCGATGGTTCCGCCAGCGAGGACTCGAGCGACAACGGGGCAGACGCCACCGAATTGAGGGCGGATCGGAGCGGCACCAAGAGTGAGGCCGCTTCGTCCTCTCAACGAGCCGATCGAGTTCGGTCGGCTTCCCCGCGCACCGCAAGAGCGGGGCAGACCTCCAAAGCTGGAGCTGCCGCAGATGCCCCGTCGCGGCCATCCGCTGCCACGTCATCCGGCCGCCGAAAGGCGAGACACACGCCCGTAGAGCTCGATGTGGCGGCTCGGAGGCGGATCTGGGAGATGCTTGCGTCCAAGATCGCACAGCGCGGCTCCACCTACATGTTCGTCAACAAGGGCGAGCTCGACCATGACCCCAATGCGGCAGGGCCGTCGTCGTCCAAGGGTGCCGGCGACGCGGCCCCCGTCGGTCCCTCTGTGCAGCATCACTCGTCCACCTTCCGACAGCTGCTGCAGCCGCTCGACAAGAGCGGCAGCTCCGCCCCCTACCCGGAGTCAGAAGCACAGGCGGTGCGCTTTCCTCGCTTGCCCGACACCATCTCGCTCATCGGCCCCAAGGACCCTTGCGACTCTGGCATCCTCTCGCTCGCCGCCGCTCGCAGGCTCTATGACTACTTCTTCGCCAACATCAACCCGTGGTGCATGGTGTTTGACCCAACGCTCGTCTCTCACGAGTCGATCCGCACGACGTCGGCGTTCCTATACACCGTCATCCTCTACCTCGCCTCACGCTACATCGAGCTATCCCCGGAGACTGGCGTCAACAGCGGCTGGTACCCGACGTCGTCCGAGTCCGCGCTCGCGCCGGGACGCACGGGCTCCGATGCCGTCACCGCATCCATCTCGGCGCGCCTGGGCTCCCACGCCAGAAGTCTCGCGGTGCAGGCCTTTGCGCTGGGGGATCGCGCCATGGAGACGGCTATTGCCTTCTACCTGGCTTCGGTCTGGAAGGAGGCGGATGACCACTTCTCCGCGCTCTACTGCAGCTACGCCGGCAAGATCATGTCCGATCTGCCATCGAGCCTGCTGTCCGAGCCTGCGGACCTGGGCGGCAACTCGAAGCGTCCCGATCCCGCCAAGCCCTCGCCGCCGTCCGAGATGCGCCAGCGCCTGCGTCGGCACCAGCAGCGCGTCTTTCTTTTCCACTACATCCAGGAGCACGCGCTGCTGCTTCACTTTGCGCCGCGGCCCAACTTTGACCGCGGCCCGGCGTTGCTGCGTAACTTGCTGGCGTGGGCCGACGACGATCTCAACACCGAGGACGACTGCCTCCTATGCGCCGACATCGACCACATGCTGCTCCAGACGCGGTATAAGTCGACCATGGAGCGCGCCCAGATCCAGGACAGAGACTCGGTGCACGGCGGGTCCGAGTGCTTCCTGCTCTTCCGCTCGTTTCTCGACGAGATCGAGGACTGGCACAGCAGGTGGGAGTGGCAAGCAAAGAAGATGGCGAAGAAGTTTCGTCGAGATGCCGCAGCAACCGCAGAGGACAGCAACGGTGCCGCCTCAGCCGCCGCCGCCGCCGCAACAGCAACAGCAACAGCAACAGCAGCTACTGCCATGGACGAGAGCAGGCCCAAGGCCTTCGATGCATCCCTTTCCCTGCCCTCTCGGCAGAGCCTGCTGCAGATATTCAAGAACAGCACCATCATGCAGATATCTTCGATCGCCTTTCGAGCATCTCTGCGCGACCTGAACAAGGTCCAGGCGCGATCCAAGGAGCGGCAACCCGAGCCTCCCTCGGGCAAGCCGGCATCTGGATCGGCTGCCAGCACCGGCGGCGGCGGCGGCGGCGGCGTCACTGCCGTGGCTAGCAGCAGCGGATCGTTGATGGACGACCGCACCGAAGAGATCTACAACACGTGCCTCGAGTCGGCGCTCAACCTCCTCTACCACTCGATCCAGATGCCGACCAACGTGCTGCGGCACGCGCAGGATCTGCTGATGGTGCTGACGCCGCACGCCGCGCTGCTCGCCACGTACCTCATCTCGCTACCGCTGCCCCACGTTAACGGCCTTGGTCCCTCTGCTTCGGGAGGTGCCAGCGACGAGGCTGCGAGCATCGCGAGGCACAAGGGTCGAGCGCGCCTGCAGAGGAGGAAGGAGTACGAGCGGAGATGCCTCGAGCTGCTCCGGGGCACGCGGGACCACTTCAAGGCGGCGTGCGTGCGCGAGGACGATCACGTGGCCCTCTGCTGGCGATACATCGACAGTCTCCTGGTCGTCATCGAAGGTCCCGACACGAGCGGCGCCGCCAGCGAGCCAAAGGGCGAGGCCAACCGGGGCGGCGGTGCGAGCCAGCATCAACACCATCGCGATGCGTCAAAGCGAGATGCAGATGTCAGTCCGCAGGCGCCCCACCGCAATGGTGGCGTCGGCGGCAACAGCGCCCGGCCGTCGAACTGGACGCCGCGCGTGGCCAGTGGCAAGATTGGCGGAGGGTCGGGCCCGCCATCGAACCTAGACGACGTGGCCGCCCAGACGCTGCTCAACCTGCACACCGACGCGCAGAACGGTACGCCCAACGTGTCGCCGCCGCCGCCGCCCAACTTTGCCGGCTCGTTTGGACCGCTGAGCGATGGCCGCTCGCCCTATCCGCCGGCCAACTTCTACGCTGCTGGCACTGGCAGTCCCTTTCCTCCTCCGGCGGCGACACGGGGCTTCGGCGGCGATCGTCCCAACACGTTTTCGCCCGATCCGGCCGCTGCTGCTGGCGTCGTGGACCCCTTTTCGCCGTCGTCTTCGGGCAACGCAGCGCAGCAGGGCCAGACGCCCGTCGACTGGACGTGGCTGCAGTCTTTCCTCGAGCTGCCCGAGTTTTCGTGGATGTAGAGAGACGGCAGGGTTGGGTGACTCTAGCCGGATCGGGCGTGGGTGGCGGCGTCGACTGGCTTCGTTTGTGGCAAGGACGATGATGGCCGAACCGGCGGCTGAGCAATTCACGCCCGGACATCCGACGACCGACGAGGCTGCCACAGGCCCTCCCTCGACGTTCTGACATTCCACAAGGGGGCGGAGGGCCCGACTTTGTATTGGGCTTGCTGAACCCTGGCTGGCGGAATTCAAATGCAACCCCCCCTGCCTCTGAGGCGAGCTTGTTGGCGCGGGCCGGTTTGAGTTCCAGGCGTGGCGGCGGCCCTGCATGCCTTTGGCGGTGGGCGCGCGCAGGCGGAAATCAGTCGGCGGCTGGCTCAAACCGCTTCCACCTTAGCTTGGTCGTGCTGGCCTGCCAACACCACCACCATACCATCGCCGTCACCATCTGCATCGCACTTCCCTGACCTCTTTCTGCGCCGACAGCCTCGCCTGTATCGATCGCTGCCATCTCCACGTCGACAAAGGCAACCTGGCCGTCCCCCTGCGATCCATACCACATCGACCCAGGTGGTCACCAGTCTAGCTCCGCCCCCTGGTCCCGCACACTTTCTCGATTGAGTCTCTTTGACCGACGCAGCGCACTGCAATCACCCCCGCCGCGCTAGCAGCCGTCATCCTGTCGCCTGGTGGTCGTCAGCAGGAGTAGCGGCAGAGCGGCGAGCAACCGCCAGAAAGAGGCAGCACCTGCACAGCTACCGTCAGCCTCGTGACTCTGCGTGTCCCTTGCGCAACCCTCATCGGCGCTCGGAACGGCCAAACCCCTCCCCGCTTCCCGCAGAGCGTGTTCAAAATCCTCGACACAACAGCAGCAAACATGTCGGGCCGACCCAACTCGTTCTACGACTACTCGGCAGCTGGCGGCTCAGCGGCCGACGCCTACAACACTCCGTCCGCCTACGGCGCCGACCAGCCCTACGCCGGCCAGCATCGCCCGCAGCACAGCACAGCCAGCCAGAGAGACCCCGCGCACCTCACATCACCCACCATGGCACCCGCCACCGCTCCTCTGCAGCACGAGCAGGGCACCGGCACCGGCATGTACGAGTCCAGGCCGACCCATTCCAACGGCTACGCCATGGCCAACGACGACGACGACGACGACGATGAGGATGAGGACTGGAACGTCTACGACGATTTCAACATGACCCGTCCGCTGTCGAGCGTACCCAACCGCGACTCGATGAGCGGACTGCAGGCCAACCAGGAGGGCTACTGGGACGCATCGACGCCCGGCACCGCGGGCGGCGACAGCAAGGCGGACCTCCAGACGCCCTACAGCGACTACCCACAGCGCAAGAGCCTGCTCAATTCGGAGGCGTTCGGCTTCGATGTCCGCAACGCCGACCCGCGGCGGAGCCTGCCGCCCGTCCATGCCGGCATGGGCGGCGGGGCGGCCGACGGCAGCCGCGAGGCCAACCGCGTCTCGATGCTCAGCGGCGCCGGCCCCAAGCACGCCGACTCGACCACGGGCATCGAGCTCATCACCGTTCCGGCGCTGGGCACCGAGTTTTCAAAGGAGGAGATGCGCGACATGACGCGCAAGACCAAGAAGAAGAAGAAGAGGCAGGCCAAGAAGAGGAGGCTCGGCATGTGGGCCAAGGGCGACGACCACCTGTGGGGCTGGCTGAGCCCGCGGGTCGCCGTCTTTATCGCCTTTATCTTCCTCGCCATGTGAGTCTTTGCCGGTCGAGGAGCCCTCCGCTTTCTTTGTTGCCCAGAATTGTTTCCCCAGACACTGACCTCCGCTGTCGCGGGCCGCTCTCCCGGCGTACTTGACGCAGGCTGGGTGTCATGCTGTACTTTGTCATCCCTCGAGTGCCTTGTGAGTCTGGGCCGCCTGGCGATCCGCTGTGAGGCAGCCGAGCTCGAGCTGACCTCTCGAACCACAATATCTCTTTCACTGCGGCTGCCCGGCCACTTTCTCCTCTGCAGCGTTTGCCTTCCTGACGACAAACCCGGTCACGGCGGTACCGGACGGTGCATCCATGAAGGTCCACCACAGCCCGACCAACTTTAGGTGAGGATTCGGCGGCGGTGCAGCGCGGGTGACACACCGAGATGGCGAGAATGCACCCGCTGATGCTGGTCTGCTTTCATCTCCCTCCGAAACGGAACGCGCGACCCCGCAGCATGACGATGGACCTCAACCTGCGAGCCGACAACAGCGACGGCTGGATCCCGTCGGTGGCCAAGGACATGCAGGTGACGGTGTACGACGCGACGCAGAACAAAAAGGTGGGCGAGGGCAAGGTGAAGCGGATGTCGTTCCCGGGGCACAAGCGGACGGTGTTCAAGTTCCCGGTCGACTTCAGCTACGTCAGCCTCAACGCGACGGGCGATACGACGTTCCTCAACTTCTACACGGCCTGCGGGCCCAAGCAGCCCAATACGCCGCGGCCCTCGCTCAACCTGCGCGTGGTGCTCAAGTTTGGCATCCAGGGCCTGATCGGGTCCAAGGGCAGCTCGACGACCGTGGGCAACCTCGAGTGCCCCTTTGCGCTGCAGAACTACGAGTAGCGCACGGGCGAGCGAGACCGGCCGGCCGGCTGCTTCGGCTGGCCATGGCGGTCTCATCCTTGCTGCCGATGACGACGACGACGAAGGACGTGTCTTCCATTCGTCCCGCCCCACGCTTCGGTCGCCGCGACGACGACGGCATCTCTATCGCCACTCTTTGCACGCTACCACTACCCTGACTGACTGGACAGTACCTCGCTCCAACAACCGCCCCGCCCGCCTGCCTTGCATTCCGCTCTTGTTCATGGACATTACCACCTTTATCGCGTCCCGCCGTCATCTTCGCTGTTGAATACGATAACATCGCACTCTCGCCCCGCTGCTGGTCTGCCCCCGCCTGGTTGGGCCTGGGGCTGTCGGACCGGAGGACGCTTCGTTGTCGGTCGTTCAGGCAGCCAGCCAGAGAGATGGACCTGTAGGCAGGGCAGTTTGGTCGGGCAGCTTTTGATTTTGCGCTGCTTTTCCAGCCGTCTTTTTTGGCAGAGGCGCAAGCAGGCTAGCGCGCCTTTTTGCGGAGGTTAGGGCGCGCGGGCGTCTTGTGACGTCGGCTGGAGAGGCTTGGCTGCGGGCCCGTGCGTCGACCTGGGACCTGGCGCAGGGCTGGCCTACCGTAGCGTGCAGGCCCAGCCCGCTCCACAACCGCACAGTCACCTGCTCAGCATCCGAGTCGCCGGGTCATCCATCCAACCACCACCACCACCACTACCACTACCGTTGCCAAGCTACCACCCGTCCGATCTCCCACTCGCACGCACAACGCGCTCAGCCTCTACCTCCGCACACGCCCACACACCGCCACGATGCCAGCGGGCGAGCTACGATCGTACGCCATGTCTTCGCCGCGCCACTCGCCGCCCCGCTCCGCCGCGGCACCCAGACCCAAGGGGATCCTCAAGAATGCTAGCGAAAGGACCACCTCCCAGGGCGCCGCTCCGCCCCTCGTTTCCCCCACCTCTGTCAACCCCGACGACGCAAACAACCAGTGAGCATGTCGTGCTGCTGCTGCTGCCCTCGCCCCATGCTGGCCCGTCGGGTACCCCCGATCCAGTAGCATGTTGCTGACTTGCTCTTTCATTCACTCTGACCTCTGGCCTCTCGCTCCCTCTTAAGCCTGCAATGGGACGAGACCAACCTCACCCTCCACGAGCTTCAGCGCGCACAGGAAGAGGCTCGCATGAAGATCGACGAGCCAAAGACGCCCTTTGTCCGCAGCGCCAGCCTCGGTCCTTTTGGAGACGACGACAGTGGGTTGGCCTGGCGGCAGTCAGGATGACAGAGCAAAAATTCACACGCAGACACTGATCAGAGAGCCTCCAATGCCTCCTCGCCTCCGATTCATCCCCCCATCCACAGTGAGCTTTGACCTGGACGCTGCCGGACCATCGACCCCTGGCAGCCGTCGAGGATCGGCCGCTAATCAGCTGGCCGCCAACACGTCGGCCAATGCCGGTCGTCGACCTTCCGCTTCGGACCCTGCATCGGGCAGCGGCGTCGCAGGCACGGGCACCGGACTGGCCGTCGGCTTGGATGCCGCCGACCTCGCTCGCTCCGCGAGTGGCACAAGCCAGAGCCACGCCGGCAGCGAGAACGAAGCCGGCCTCCAGCGCGCTCCGAGCTCGAGGAGCACCAGCCGTTCGCCCAGCTTCTCGCTGCCAAAGACTTCGAGCAGGAGATCGAGCGCGCGCAGCGCCACCGGCGACATCGACCAGAGGACCGGCCTGAGGCAGGAGAACGAGGAGCGAAACATGCAGGTCGACGACGACGACGAAGACGATGGCGCCGTCGAGGAGGAGGATCCCGATCCCGAGAGTGAGTCCGCTCGCGGTCGCGGTCGCGGTGACGGCCTGGAGCCTGCGCCTCGCGATGCTTTGCTGACGGGTTCTCCGTCCTGGCCACCCCCCTTCGCCACCGCAGCCCAAGCCAAGCACGCCGCGTTTGCAGCAAAGAGAAACCAGCACTACGGCAACGAGGCCGAGGCGATGAAGATTGCAGCCGCGCTCGCGGCCCGCGATGACGACGAGGATGAGGACGATGACGACGAAGAGGACGCTGCCCAGAGCGGCCCGCCTCCGGTTCCGCCGCTCCCCAATGGCTCGCGACAGGGCTGATGGGCGGGCGCGGATCGCGGACTAGGCCAGCGATACAGATTGCCGCGGCTGTCGATGAGACTCTCGCGTAGCTGCAACGACATCTGGGCAATGCGACATCTGCCCTTTAGGCTGGAAGCTGGCGCAGTGCCCGTCGCCTCGGCCGTCGCCAGACACAGACGTCGGCATCAATGGGAGTGAAATCAAGTTTGGCGAATTCGAAGAGGAGGGGAGGCGAGGAGCTGGATACGAAGGGGGTGCTGCAACTCTTTTGCAGAGGCAGAGTGAGGACGGGGAAGAAGGGACGACGGATGGGTGGATCAAGAGAGAAGCGAAAGGAGAGGGAGGGATGGCCCAGCGACGAGGTTGATGAATAGAAAGCTGAGGGGGAAGAGGCCAAGTGGATGGGTCCCTCCCTGGCTGACGGAGTAGCGCCGTCGATAGGCCGGGGGAGGAGGCTGACGACCTTGCGCCAGGGCCGCTCAGGCGCTGCGCCTCTGCTGCTGCTTGACGTTCCTCGTCTTCTGACCGAGGAGAGCGCCGAGGAGGCCCGTCTTTCCTCCGGACTGGATCTTGCTACCGGGGAACTTGTCGGCGCCAGAGTAGTCGACCTTGACCCTGTCGCAGTTGGGGAAGGTGTCGGCGAGCTTCTTGAGGGGACCTCCGATGAAGTGGTCGACGAGGTCGAGGACGCCCGTGAGGTCCTTGTAGAGGAATCGGAGCTGGGTGGGGATGAGGGACTCGACGGTGGCCTGGTAGAGGAAGCACGACAGCGCCGCGGGGTCGTCGAGGAGCTTGGCCGTGTTGAGCAGTCCGCCGGTGAGGTTGCCGACGTTGAGGCCGGCAAAGCTGTTGACGCTGCCCGTATTGCCGCCGACGGAGAGGAGCTCCGTGTGCTCGGCGCCCGACTTGAGCAGGTTGGTCACCACATCCGCCAGCCCAAACTGCGCCGCCAACGGACGCCGGTACCAGTCCTCTGGGAATCGCTCGTGGCCCGGCGTGTAGATCAGCTCGCCCGACTTGGGATCGCGCTTGATGCTGAAAAAGGGAAAGAGGTTGTGCTCGTCCAGGTAGATGCGGTTGTTGCCCTGCTCGTCGGCGGTGTTGTTGGCCATAAAGTTGACGATGAAATCGTGCGCGGCCGTCGTCACGACCAGACCGCCAAACGGGCTGTAGAAGAAGTTGGGGTTCTTGGCGATGCTGCGGATCGGGGAGCGGGGACGAAAGACGGCGCGGCGAGGCGAGGGATGGACGACGTGGGGGAGTTCAGTCCACACGGCCGGCCCTTTCTGTCTGTCTGCAGGTCTAGGAAGGCAAGCTGGGGGACTGGGACGATGACTGACCTGGTCTGGAACCTCTCCCAGCGGTGCTTGGCGAGCACGTCGCGCGTGTAGACGTCCTTGCCGCGCGTGCGGTCGTCGCCGGCAATGTCGACGACCGACTGGAAGTAGGGCAGGTACACGTTGACATTGTCGTGGTTGGCGCCCGGCTCGTAGTAGTCTCGGCGCGAGACTGAGGCGTCGCCCTCGTAGACCTGGTCGTTGCCGAGCGGAGAAGGAAGGGTTCAGCATCGTCCCTCGAGATGGCGTCGCCCGCAGGCCGTCGTCTGCCGATGCCGTAAGATTGCAGCGTGGGTCGCACACTCACATTGTGCGTATTGATACCGCCGGGCTCTCCCGCAAGCAGGTTGGTCAGCCCACCGAGGCCGGACGAGGTGAAGGGCCCGCCGATGCTCCACTCGGTATCGAGGACGTTGCCGGTGAAGATGGTCGCGTACGCGCTGAGGAAGCCGCCGAGGTCCGGGCTGATTCCGTAGACCTGCTCAACGACCTCGATGGCCGTCTCGAGCTTGACGACGCCGTTGCGCGGAAAGTAGCCGTGGTTGGCGAGCACGTTGAGCCCGGGGCAGGGCCCGCGGATGTCGCCCGGCTGCGGCGCGCGCCACTCGTGCGAGCCGCTGACATCGATGCGCTGCGCGGCCTCGTCAAACTTGAACGCGTTCGGGTTGATGACCGAGTCCGGGTCGCGCTTCGAGAGCTTCGAGGCCGAGTTGGAAGCTGCCGCCTCCATGCGGGCGCGCAGCTGCGGACACAGCTTGATGCCCTCGGAGAGCGAGCGCGCCGACAGAGTCGTGTTGGCCTTGTCCGCCTGCTCCTGGATGTGCGGGAAGGCGAAGGCTGAGGGCAGTACGGAGAGTCCTGCGCTCACCGCCGTGAGGAGGGGAAGGGTGAAGCGCATCGTGGGCCGTGGAATGTGCTGGAACGAGGTTGGGTCGAGGGGTGAGTGGGGTGGAGAAGGGGGAGGAGAGGCGGAGGATGATGCCGACAACGATGAGAAGATCGCCGGCAACTGCTGCCTTGTTATACCCTTGCCTCTCTCGCCCTTCCGGTCGATGCAAACATCCGCGCAGGCTGGAAGGACAACTTGGATCGAAGAACGGCGCGGTCCAGCTTTCCGTCTCCTCGTCCAAGCTGCTCAACGAACAGCTAGGAACAACAACTCGACAGGCACAGCACGCTCCTTTGCTATCGTGAAAGCCGGAGCCAGCCTTGCGCCATCACCCTCGAACCTCCATCGGCGAGGACGTTTTCGTCAGGTGCTCGCGCGACGTTGATCCTCCGTGTTTGTCTCGCATTCGGTATAGCCGCATCCCTCTTCGGGAGGTATACGCGCCATCCATCGTCCCGACACCGACCCGCGACACAAAGCAAAGCAGATACGGTCCTTCGACAGCGAGGATCACGATCGCATGCTCACACGAGCGGATGACACCTTCGTTCGCCACATCCAGGGGTAGGGCATGCAATGCGAGAGGCGAGGATGGGAGGAGTTAGGAATAAGAGCGCGGGCGCTGCCGGGAGGAAGGGAGTGCACGTCGGACGATGCGGGGAGGTGACTAGCGACGTCGGAAGGGATACGGGCCGGAAGCGAGGTGTAGCGACTCGGGAGGTCGCGAGGACACGCCGTGGCCGGGCTGGATCCTGGCAGATGGTGTGCGATAGAGGGACGAGAGTTACAAGGAGAGGAGGCGAGCAGTAGGGAGCTCGGGGACCATGCAAGGCCGGAGCCAGTATCGAGCAGAGAGACGCACGTACCGAAGAGGCATGGACCGGAGCGTCGGGACCCTCCCCCTGCCCTCTTGGCAACCTGCGGAGCACAAGCCGACCGCAACAAACGAACGAAGCTAGAACGATGTCCAGCCGTTCTACCGAGCTCGTACCGTCTACCGGGTCGCCGTCGACGAATGGCGATCCTTCGAATGCAAAGGGCTCCACATCGTTGCAAGAAATGCGCTAAGGACCGGGCAGGCGCACGCGAGGAGGAGCCAGGTAGCGGCCCCACCTAGCGCTGTTTCTCTGTTGATGGCTTTGTCGAGGGTCGAAGTGGTATGGGAGAGCGAGGTTCGCATGCACTCACTCAGCTGCAATGGCCGGGTGGGTGTGCACAGAGGGCTGCCGCTGTGCATATCCGACCTCGGGATCGATGACACGTACGGTCTGCGCGCTACCGTGCTGCGAGGGCATGGGTGGGTACGGTAGCTTATCGCTTCGGCTCGGATAGATCGTAAGGTGTCGAAGGGAGCACGCCATGTCGCTGCCTCGTCACACGGCTGGGATCAGAGGAAGAACGGCGCGCCCCTTCCTTCTGTCGTGGGGATGAGGAGGAAGGGTGTGTTGTTCTCGTCCCCTCGACTTGGCACGGTGTGCACAGATCGGATCGTCGGTGCCTCGCCGTGGAGGGCCGGGTTTCAGTGTTGATCGACGACACAGAATCTTGATCGACAAGGAAGAGGAACCGTACGTGGCGGCGATGATGAATCGAGCAAGCGTCAGTGGTTCTTTCGGCATGTGCATGTGGGAGCGGGCGGAAGCAGGGAGGGGGGCCGAGCTGTCAAGCAGCGCGAGGGCGAGCACGCATTTCGCCGTCTGCGCACGCCATCCGCGTGGCTGGGCGCGACGCCTACCGTACCATCCGGCCTGATTCATCACGCACACTCGCACGCACCCTTGCCTTGCCCTTCCCAGCAACGATAAGAGAGTACACTCTAGTGCATCCATAGAAGCGGTGCGAGCATCCTAGCCGAAAGGTTCAATTGGAAGCGGGCCGATGCACGTACATACGTCCCGCAGAAGACTCCCTCACCCCTTTTTCTAGAGCCTAGGTCGTTCATCCCCCCCACACGCAGTACCTGGCTCCCAGTCCAGTGGAAGCGACCAAACGAAGAGCAAGGCGAGGCAAGGCAAGGCAAGGCGAGGCAAGGCGTGGCGAGGCGAGGCGAGGAAAGGCAAGGCAAGGCGAGGCAAGGCAAATCCCGCTCTGCACTTTCGTCATCTCCAGCCCGCAAAGCAGTCGGCTGGCGCATCCGCGTATGGGTGGTGCCGGCCAATCCGAGTGGTGCGATTGCAGAGTCGCGACTCCTCTATCGTCCAAGCAGCGATGCATCCCTCTTGACCGGCTCGCAGTCCTCAACTCTGCAAATTGACCTCATCCACCGTACACGGCCTATCTACATGAGGCCAAAGAACACCTCGAAGTGCACCTCCTCCCCGGCCACGATCAAGCAAACACGGTGCCAAAGACGCGGTTGACCTTGTTGGCCGTCTGCCAGGCGGCGAGGAGCGCGAGCAGCAGCGCGACCTCGGTGCCGACGAGGGAGACGGCGGCGAGCATGAACCGGGGCGTCCACACCTTGAAGAGCATCAGGTGCCGTCTGAACACGAGCCCGGCGAACGCCGAGCAGCTCGTGGCCAGGAGCGCATGGTAGAGCACCAACCCCAGGCTGGTGCGGAGCAGCGTCAGCGGGAGCGTCATGGGCCCTCCGGCCGCGCCCCGCGGTCGCGGTGCCAGGTTCCAGAGGCACAGCAGCGGCACGCCCATGGCGGGGAGGAGGATGAGCGGCCCGAACGAGTTGGCCACCACGAACAGCGGCGACCACGGGTAGGTGACGGTCTGGAAGCCGATAAAGGCGACGCGCCACTGGATCGACGAGAGCGTGGCCTGGTGGCCCGTGCTGAAGAAGGCGAGCAGGCCCACCAGCGCCAGCGTGCTCGTCTCGAGGAACGACGGCATCGGCTGCGTCGCAGACGCAGAGGCCTGCCCGCCATTGCCATCTCCGACACCGCCGGCAGGTCCCGAGGCCGCTTCGGCCGCCGCGACCAGTGGCGATACCTTCGGTTGCGACGGCTGACCCTTCTTGCTTGTTGAAGGTGCAGCACCGGGAGCGGGCTGGTCGGGTTGGCGGTCGACCTGCGCAAAGATGATCTGGCAGTCGCGCTCGCAGTCGCCCAGCTCGGCATTGGCCACCGTCAGCAGCAGGCAGAGGGAGAGCGCCAGCTGGCCCGCCGGCTGGCTGAGGATGTAAAGCATCGAAAAGACGAGCGAGACGAGCAGCAGATACGAGCTGCCCAGGCTGTTTGCGTACCCGAGGATCGAGACGCGGGTCTTGTTGCCTCCCTCCCCTGTCGACGTCGGCGACGATCCTTGCCCGGACAGCTGCGATCCCGGCTGTGGGGCGGCAGCCGGCGGAGGAGCCTGCTCCTGCCTCAGCTCCAGACAGAGCGGCGCAAAGATCCAGAATGTGATGCCGACGACGCTGAGGGCGATGAGATCCGCCCGGGCGACGAGGCGTGTCGCCCATTCGATGAAAGACCGCAGCTCTGGCGTGACCTGATCCGAGGGCGCCGCCCAGTCGCCCAGCCAGTAGCCGGCGCCCGCCAGCAGCGAGGGCCTCAGCAGCCAGTTGAGGACGAGGGGCGCCACCCCGACGTTGGACTTGCTCGATCCCAGCGCCATCGATAGCAGGCTCGGCATAAAGTACGCTGCGACGTACGAAGCGGCGATGGCGTACGGGCTGTTGAGCGCGGTGCCACCCTCGCCGCCGTTGGCGTAAAAGGTGGGACGGCAGTACGGCGCCTGCTCCTCTCGGCAGACGCGGCTGATGGCAGCGAGGCGGGCGAGCACGATTCCCGCGGCCGCAACCAGCGGCATCCGGATCCGCAGTCGGCCCAGCGGAGCGCCGAAACCCGCCACGAAGCGGGCCGATAGAGCGGCGATCAGGAAGATGAGGACGGCTTTGTCCTCCCAGACCGTGAAGCTGTTGCTGCCGAACAGGACGGCGTGCAGGACTGGGATGGCGATGCCGAGCACCTGCAGAGCCTTGCCAGATGGCAGCGTGCGCGCTTCGAAGCGGAACAGCGATCGCAGTGCCTTGCGCTGCGAGATGATCAGGCTCAGTTGCGACACCGAGGTTGATCCGAACAGGACCAGATCAAGCAGGCTAAGCCGCAGCGACCTCGAAGGCGCGGCGTATTGGGCCCCATAGACGGCGCACCCGACAGCGGCTCCGTAGACGGCAGGCCAAATGGCGCTGGCATGGACAGCCTGCCAATACTCTGCTGCCGTCTTGCTCGGCCGAGCCATCCTCTCAACGGGCGCTGGGTTGGCAGCCGAGGCACCCAGCTCGGTGGCGGTGTCGAGGAGGGTCACGAGTCCGGACTTGCAGCCGGCGTAGAGGACCGAGGCGGACACGAGGCTGAGCGCGAGAACCGCCAGGCCCATGAAGATCCTCGAGAGCTCAAATTGCGCCCATACGCTGCGGGCGCGGACCAGGCTGGCGCGGTTGAAGCGCTGGTAGGCCAGTGCCGCCGCGCGACGCGCTTCCGCCTGAGGGAGCTTCGACCAGGAGCCGGACGCAGCCTGGGCAAGCCTGGCATCCGCCTCCACGGCCTGGTACCACAGGTCCTCGAGCTCGGTCGCAAAGGGGGCCAGATCCGACGACTCGGTCGAGTAGCGGTCGAGGTATGTCTTGATCTGCCACGCATTGATGCGCAGCGCCCGCAGCAGCCTGTCCGGATCAGGGAACAGCTCCGGAACAATCGAGCCGAGGCTGTTGAACGGGATCGGCAGACCAAGAAGGAGGGAGAGCGAAGGGACCAGGTCGATCTGCGGGATCGAGCGGTGACCCTTTGGATCAAAGGGCGGCGAGGGCAGTGGCGAAAAGGGAACAAAGGCGGGCACGAGCTGGTAGGTGGGTCCATCGGCAAGCAAGGTGCTGTGGACGTCGCTTGCAAGGCCAGTCTTACCGAAGCCCGAACGGCTCCAGACCCACAGGCCCGCGCCGACCTCGAGCTCCCCATCGCCGCCGTGGTCCCCGCGCTCGTCCATGCCGTGGTCGCCCATGAGGATGACCAGGGTGCTGTCGTCGACGGCGTCGGTGACGTTGCGAAGGAAGCGCTGCATCTCTTGCATCTTGGTGGCCATCTTGGGGTGCGACGCGCCGAAGCGATGGCCGACATGGTCGACGCCGAGGCCGTGACCGACGAGCAGCCTCCAGCCGTTGTGGAGCCCGGTGCGGTCAGGATGGTTGCGCTGGAGAAAGGGGAGGAGGCTCTGCTCGACGCCGCGGTCGACGGTGTCGAGGTCCTCGACGTTGAACGAGTCGTACGACCAGGTCTTGTCGGCATCGAAGATGGAGGGGAAGACGGTGGACCAGGTGTCGTCTCCGGCAAAGGCGAGGCCGGCGCTATCGTTGCGGGCGCCGTCGCGGATGGCCTTGAGGCGGAAGTGTTCGAGCCAGTTGTCCTCGCCCACCTTGCCCATGCCGCCAAAGTTGGCGCCCGCCTCGATGAACGTGGGAAGGGTGCCCGTGGTGAGGCCCTTGAGGCGCTGCAGGGTGGTGGTGGGTGCGTCTGCGAGGAAGTGCGCCAGGAACGAGGATGGAGGGTTCATGGCGTGGAGTTCCGAGGGGAGGGTGAGCTTGGCATGGTAGTGCGGGTCGGGCTTCCATGTCGGGCTGCCGTCGGGTGGGTGGGCGGCCGAGATGGGCGGGATGGGTGCGATGAAGTCGTATCGGAGAGCGTCGATGATGAGCAGGACGGCCTTGGAGTGCGTCTCTGGCAGGGTGCACTCGCCCTGTCCCGTGTGCGGATCGAGGGAGCGCGACCACTGCGCCAGCGCTGGGCGGTCAAACGAGGACGGCGGGGTAGGGGTGGACCACGACTGGGAAGGCTGCTTGAAGCACGAGTTGCGGCCGTCGAGCTCGACCCTGGTGAGGAGGAACCCCTTTGTAAACAGCCACAGGGCGGCAGCGTGGTAGTAGAGCACCAGGGCCAGGACGGCGAGGATGCCGAGAAACGGGCGGTTGATGGACGGCGGCTTTGGGGGTACGCGGTCGGGATGCCTCCGCGCGTACGACGAGTGCGACGAGTGCGACTCGTGCGAGGCGTGCGAAGAGGCGTCGGAAGAGTGCGAGTCGGATCGATCCCGGTTGCGCCGCGCGGCCAACCGAGGCGGCGGGTTGAGCGCCGACGACGACATCGGGTCGGATCGAATCGAATCGAGTCGAGTCGAGTCGAATCGAATCGAGCCAAGACGAGGTTCGGAGCTGCCTGCCGACTTTGCTGGACGGGTACGAGCCGAAGGAGCGGACGTTGCGGAGGTAGCTGTGCTGTCGGAAATCCCGACGAAGCAAGGCAGTGTGGCAGTAGTGAAGTAGTCGGTGGTGGTGGTGGTGGCGAGGAGGAAGCAGACGAGGGCCCTCGCCAGAAGAACGTCACACCCGCATCCTGTTCCTGTGCCTGCACGGCGTCGTGAAAGCACGGCCCATCGACCTCCACCTCTGCCTTGTGGCCCTGCATCGGCGCCTGGATCGGGCAGGCGGGCAAGCGCTCATCGCCCCCATCGGCCAGACCCGAAGGCAGGGTGACGCTTCTCGCACCTCCAACACCTCGACCCTCGGCCCTGGCCCTGGCCCTTGCCCTCGCCACGTCCAGCCACCTCTCCGCCTCTCGCACCCTCGCCATCACCATTTCCGTCACCCTCTTCGCTCACCACGACGCGCGCCACGATGCGTCCCGCGCACTTTGCCGACCAGGTCATCCAGGCCGAAAAGGCAAACGATGGCCACCAGCTCGCCCAGCTCTTTGCCATCGGTGGGCCCATCTCGCACGCCGTCCTGCTCGAGCTCGGCGACCCGAGGGTGGGTCCACGCCGTCTCGCCCGCACTGACTCCCGTTACCTCGCCGATTGTTCGCTGACCCGGTTGCTATCGCCCTCGCTCCCGCCCTCGCTCCCGCCCCTCTGCCGCAGCCCAACAAGATCCTGCTGAGCCTGCGCAAGTGCGCCGGCTACCTCGCCTCGCCGTGGGAAGAGATATGCCAGAGCCACCTGCTATCCGTCTACTTTCTCTCGCTCTCCAACACCTTCCACGGCGCCTACTCGTCGGACGCCACCGACTCCGAGGGCAAGACGCGCGCCGAGCGCCTCGCCGACTCGTTTGACGCAATGAACACCGCCGTCACGGCGTTTCTGCGCCACTTTTCCACGCTCCAGGCGGGCAGGTGGGCGCTGCCCCTCTTCCGCATCCTTCTCCTCAACCTGCGCTGGCTCGCCATCCAGGCAGACACGGCCGCCAACCCGCCGCCGCCGCCGCCAGCCGCGACTTCGGCCCGCCCGGGCGCGCTCTCGGGCGGCGCTGCCACCTCGTCGGCCGTCGCTGCCGTCAATGCGCAGGAGACGAGGACGTCGTCGACGGCCAACAAGCGCCTCGAAGAGTGCGCGCGCCAGCTCAACAAGGCCTTTACCGCCTGCATCGCCGACCGCAACCCGGACATGGCCGAGAGCCGCAAGTGGGGCACGTACGAGGTGGTCGGCATGGTCTTCAAGACCTACTTCAAGGTGAGTCGCCCGCTCGTTGTCTCATACTGCAGGCAGGCAACGTACCGTGCAGCAGAGGACGCACTGACGAGTGGCGCTCTTTCGTCGTGCTGATGTCCTCTCCCTCCGCGCGCCCGTGTCGCCCGCAGTTGAAGTCCATCTCGCTCTGCAAAAACATCCTCCGCGCCATTTCGGCAGCGGCACTGCCGCCGCTGGAAGAGTTCCCGCGGGCGCACCAGGTCACGTTCCGATACTATGTCGGCGTGCTGGCGTTCCTGGGCGAGGAGTATGCAAAGGTGCGTGACCGTTTGGTCAGTCTGAGTGGTGCCGCCTGGCGTCGTGCTGACTCCCCCTCGTCTCTTGCTCCACCGCTTGCGCCGACAGGCCGATACGGAGCTCACCTTCGCCTTTGCAAACTGCCACTGCCGGGCGACGAGGAATCAAGAGTGGGTTGCACGCGGCACGCGGCACGCGGCACCGTCGTCGGCCGCCGCCGGCGCGCGTTGATCGGCGTTACTGACGTGGCCCTCGCTCCGCTTGTTCTCCCGCGCCTTCTGAAACCCCAGGCTGATACTGAGCTACCTGATCCCGACGCGCCTCGTCCTCGGCGTGATGCCGACACCGGCGCTGCTCGCGCGCTTCCCGCGCCTCTCGGCGCTCTACACGCCCTTGCTCACCTCGTTCGCGAGGGGGGACGTGCAGACGTTCGATGCGCACCTCGCGACGCCCGAGGTCGAGAAGCGGCTCGTGTCGCGCGGCGTCTTCCTCTCGATTGAGCGCGCGCGCGAAGGCTGTCTGCGCTCGCTCTTCCGGCGCGTCTGGATCGCAAAGGACCGCGCGACGCGCATCCCCGTCGACGACTTCTGGCGCGCCCTCGCCTTTGTTGGCGTGCGCGTCGATAAAGAGGAGGCCGAGTGGCTCGTCGCTGGCTTGGTTTACAAGGTGAGTCGCGTGCCCTTCTCCCTCGTTCCTCCGGTCTCCCATCCCTCTGTCGATTGTGCGGCAGGGAGCGTGGGGACCTGTACTCACCGTCTCTCTTGTCTCTCTTGTCACTCTTGTCCCTCTTGTCCCTCTTGTCCCTCTTCTCCCCCTCATCCCCTCGCTCCTCCCTGTCTGCTGACCTCGACACGCGACAAACAGGGCTACATGAAGGGCTACATAGCGCACGAGCGGGGCATCGTGGTTCTCAGCGCAAAAGAGGCTTTTCCCAAGCTGGGCTCCTTTACCGTCGTATCCACCTAGCCAAGCGAAGCGCAACGTCACGCTCCTGCGAATCGAAAGCCTTCAGCCCGGCTGGCTGGCTGGGCAGGTAGAATCATACGAGACGGACGACGCGTGCGCGCGAGAAAGACAGGTCGTTCGTCTGGCCTCCACAGGGCAGGGCAGGGCAGGGCAGGGTAGGGCAGAATGGGCAAAAAGAAAGAGGTATACGGGTAATCCAAGGGGGGTACGTCGTGGTGGTGGTTGTGTTGGCGTGGGTAAGGAAAGGCGATGGTGGGGGCAGCGGACGAGGGTGCGGGTACATGGTCCGGTCCTGTTCAAAGAGCGAGTAAGGTGTAGCGGGATGGGAGCGCAGAAGTAGGCAGAGGCAGGAAGCTGGACCGATCTGATCCGGACTGAGCAGAGCAGAGCAAGATTGGGCCAGGGAGAGGGGCAGGGTCGTGGCGACACTCAAGGAACCGAAGGAGCGTGAAGAGGGGGAAGGGGGGCAAGGACTGTGGTGCCGCGGTGCGAGAGCAGAAGCCAGAGCAAGCAGGTGTACCGCAATGACGAGCGCGAGCAGAAGGGGAAAGGGGGAAGGAAGGGCACGAGGGAAAGCAATCAAAACGAAACCAGAAGAGAGAGGGAGAAGCGGGCAGTCAAGGGAGGGACGCGGGGGAAGGGACGCCACGCCGAGCCTCAGCGGGCGCTGCGTTCCGACATTTCGGGGCCCATTTCGAGCTCCGGGTCGATGCTCTGCAGGATCGTGTCCTGGATGCCCGGGAAGACGGTGCGGTAGGCGTCGACGCCAAAGATCATGTCGAGGTGCTCGTAGTTTCTGCGGCGCGGCGCGACCGGGGTGCGGGGTGTGGGCAGAGGAGCGAGGCGTCAGCATCAAGGACGGATCCTGCAGCGGCAAAAGGCAAACGCGAGGGAGGGCGCCATGCGCCTGGACCACTCACTGGAGCTCGACGACGTGGATCATGTCGAGGTTCTTTTCGTAGCGCTGGATGCGCTGGACGAGGGGTTTGCCCAGCACGAGGTGGTCGATGTCGCCGTAAAAGATCGAGTGCGGCGGGAAGCGGCGTCCGAACCAGGGCTCGGTGATGCGCGGGTCAAAGATGCAGCCGCGGTGGCTGAAGCCGCTCATGTACCAGTACAGCAGCTCGCTCGACGTCGGGATGGGCACGCTGCGGAAGATCTTGGGCTTCTGGCGCGCCAGCCAGTTGTGGTCGTGGAAGCCAAACAGGAAGGCAAAGATGACGAAGGCAATGTGGCCGAACCACCACGTCGGCAGGAACTCTTGCGCGATGCCAATCACGGGCATAAACTCGCGCACGCCAAACACGAGGCCCCACCAGCGGCGCGAGCGGAACTGGCGCAGCAGCGAAAAGGGGAACTTGCGCAGCACCGAGCCGGCGTAGACCGACGGTCCGAGGGCGATGAAGCAGCTGAGCTTGTCGCCAATCTCGGGGCAGATGCCCGGCGAGAGGGCGAGGTACATGGAGCCGCTGCCCTGCGAGTGGCCGACGTAGGCCAGCTGCGGGCGCCCGGTGGCGGCGGTGACGTAGTCGACCAGGTCCTTGAGGTCGTAGGCGAGCTCCTTGAGGCCCCAGGCCCAGAAGCGCGGGTCGCTGCGCGTGTACTCGGTGTGGCCGGCCTTGAAGTTGGAGCGGATGTTGGTCACCCACACGTCGAACCCTTGGTCGACGAGCCAAAAGGCCATGGAGCGCTCCTCGTTCATGACAAAGTGCGACGAGTTGCAGAGAATGCCGTGCTGCAGCACCACGGGGTGGCCCGGCGGGCCCGGGCGGCGCGGGTCCGAGATGCGGTGCGCCTTGAGGATCCAGCCGCCCTCGGTGATGATGTCGTGCTCGTCGCAGTTGTAGCCCCAGAACTCGGCGTAGTAGGCGGGCCTGCCGCTGCCGCGCTCGCCCGTGATCCTGCGCTCGTACTCGCGGTCGGTCTTTGCGCGGGGCGGGCTCTTTTTGAACGGGTTGAGGTAGGCAAAGTAGGCGGCGACGAGGACGATGCCCATGGCCGAGGTCGAAATGCCAAACGAGACGAGCTGGCGGAAGTTGAGGCGGATGCGGTTAAAGAGGCCGTAGTTGCCATAGTCTGCGACGACGTGGTCGAAAAAGGGCATCTGGAGGGGCGCCTCGTCGCGGTAGTCGGGGAAGGTGGGGTCGAAGAAGGCCGGCTCGTCGTCGTCGCGGTCGGGGGCGTTGGGTTGAGTGCCGACGCGCTCGACCTGGGCGGGGCGGTGGCGGCGGCGGCGGCCGGAGCGGGGCTGGGTGGCCTCGGTGTCGGCAAAGGGGCCCTCTACGCCGCGGTCGTCTGCGAGGGGCTGGGTTGACTCCGATACCTGGTCCTCGACGGGGGCGTCGCGAACGGTGGTGCTCTGGCGGGGCGGGCGGGAGGTATCGTCGCTGAAGGGGTCGTCGGTGTTGGACTCTGGAACGGCGCTGGCGCTGTCCGAGGCGGTGCCGGTGCCTCGCCGGCGGCGGCTGTAGTCGACGTAGTTGCCGGCCATGGTGGTAACGGCGGGGGGGCTAAAGCGGTGGACGCTGGAGTGGTGGCAGTGGTGGTGGTGGTGACGAAGGCGAAGGCAGGGTATGAAACGGCGCGGTTAGGGAGATGCGGTCGAGGCCGGCAGGTCGGTCGGGTTGGCTGGCTGGCTGGCTGGCTCGCTTTGGCCTGCTGTCAGCCTTGCTGGAGCGGCGCTGGGTGCTAAGGCTGCCAGATGGTGAGGCTGAGGGAGCTACACAGGTAGCTAGCGTGCGTGAAGGGCGTGCACGCTGCGCGGTCGGCGCCAGAAGGGGGACCGTGAGCCAGAGATGAGGAGCGCGCGCGGCGGAGGGGAGATGAATAGGGAACGGAAGAGAAGGGAGGGTGGAGCGTGAGGGCAAGTCAGAGAGAGAGAGAAGAGAGAGCCGGGATGGGTTGGGCAAAGGTGCGAGCGAGGGTCAAAGGCCAAGCAGGCCTAGGCAAAGCAGGCCGGGGCAGCTCAACGAGGCAGGCAGGCAGGCAGGCCCAGCTGATGGAGAGCGAGTCGAGCATCGAAGGGGTGACAGCCGCCGCCGTCATGTTGGCAGAGGCATCCGCAGGGCCATCTGGCATCTCCGCATCTCCGCTCGCCTCGCCCGCCCGCCCATCACTAGGCGGATGGCAAAAGCGGATGGCGCGCAATTGGCGGATGGCGGATGGCGGATGGCAAAGGCCATCGCAGGCTAAGGGTCATGCGCCCAAGGCAAGCCAGCCAGCCAGAGAAGAGGGCTGGTTGGTTGGTGGAGCCGCACCTCGTCGATCCCTCTGCCCTGGCCCTGGCCCGCCTGCTGGGCTTTCCCCGCGCTCGCCCTGGTGTGCCCGTCCCTAACCTAGCCTCTTCTTTCCTTGCCCCGCCTTGCCCTGCCCTGCCTGCTGGCCTGCTCGCCCTTGCTCTTTCCGCCTCTGCTCTCTTTCTTGAGCCAAGAGAGGCAAGGGAGGCAGGCAGGCTGGCAGGCAGGCAGGCTGGGTCGGCTAAACACCGCCCTCCTCTCTCTCTCTCTCTCTCTCGTGCTCGCTTAGGCCGCCTCGATAGACGAATTCATCTCGTTTCCAGCCAGCCCAGCCCAGCTCAGCCAGCATCGCTTTGTTCGCATGCAGGCCATCAAGACCGTACCGCGTTTGGATTTCCAGCCCCAGACAAGAGGCAGGCACAGGAGCACAGCTACAGCTACAGCGGAGACCCAAAGCCGTCCGCCCGCCCTCGAAGCGCGTTTGCTTTTTTCCAGCCAGCCGGCTCTCTCTCTGGCTGCCTCTCTGCGTCGTGGCCTCGAGCTGCGTTTGCGGGGGATCCGAAATCCCCAAGGCAACCCGGCACCTGCACCTGCACCAGCAGCACCTCACAACCCGCCGGCCACAGGGTAGACGGACGCTCTTTGCACCGTGAAAACCCCAACGACGCCCGACCCCCGCCAGGGCATCCGCTTCGTCTTTCGCACGACAACACGACACCGAAAAGGCTAGACCACCGACCGACGGCCGCACCGCCTCGCCCTCAGCAGGCCCCAACGCAGCGAGGCTCGCAAGCGACGCTGTACATACATCTGCTTGCAGACAAACGAGGCGCGGATGTCGGACCCTCGCGCCGCCGTGCATCGCCGTCGTCCAACTCGAGAGCGATCCGCTCAGTCCGAGTCCGAGTCCGAGCCGCTCTCGCCATCCGACGAGCTGTCCGAGTGTACCAGATCGTCGTGCATCCCCGTCGCAGCTGCATTGCCTGCACGGGGCGACGAACAACAGGAGTAGGGGGGCGGATATCACAGGCATCGTCAGACACAGCGTCCACGCCAACCTGCTCCAACGCCGGGTTTCGACGGCCGCCATCCCGACACTCACCTGCTGCCGCTTCCGGATTGCCAAACTGCTCCAGCTGCTGCTGCAGCCTCTGGATACGCTCCGCCTCTTCGCCTTCGTCGAGGTTCTTCTTCTTGAGCCCGCCCGTGCCCCGCTTGCGCCCGTCGAGCGGCGCAGAACGACCGTTGGCCTTCTTGGCCGCCGCCGCCGCCGCAGCCGCCGCCTTCTTGCTCGGTCGCACCACGTACTTGTACAGCTTGTACAGCGTCTTGGCAGACAGCTCGTCAATGTCGAGCTCAATCTCCTCCTCGTCGGCCTGGCCCGCCGGCTTGTCCTCGTTGATGATCCGGATCGCCCCGTCCAAACGCTCCTCGGACAGCTCCTGGATCTTGGCCGCCAGCTCCTCCTTCTGCTCGTACGTCACCACGCGCACGTCGTCGTCGCTGCCCGCACCGCGCTTCGACGCGCCCGCCTTCTTCGACGACGCAGAGGCGCCACCGGCGGCCGCCTTCTTCTTCTGCTGCGCCGCCGCCGCCGCCTTGGCCTTCTTGGACGGCACGTAGTCGGCAG